ATTCCTCAGTGAAAACCACCTTAAGGGCCAGAAAAACCAACAATATGGGTGCTGCAAGAATCATAAAAAGCCGCCTTTCAATCCTGCAATCTTGAGACAAGCCGCAACAGCACCCACGCTTGAGCACATTCACACGCACACACACACACACACACACACACACACACACACACACACACACACACACACAGTCTTGCTCGATGCCATCCTTGAGCATCTTCTTCTCACGTTCTGCCCCACCCCTCTCCCCCCCCCCCCTTGACACCACCGACGTGGCAGGATGAGCAAGTCTGCATCTGCGTCCCCAGCGCGTGCACGAGCAGGCGTGTCACCGGTTCCAATGTCATCCACACCAACACCTTCCAGCACGCGACCAACAACAGCACGCAAGCCATCACCAGCGTCAGTAGCGTCAGCAGCAAAGGCCATGTCGCAATCAACATCATCATCATCGTTGGTATCATCAGCAAAGCGCCGTACCCCCGCGCCGATATCGGAGGACGTGACGAAGACGGCGAAGGCAATGCTGGATGCAGACATGCAGCGACAGATGGCCAAAGTGGTGCAACAACAGCAGCAACAACAGCAACAACAGCAGCAGAAACAGGAGGGGTTCAAGAAGCGTCCAAAGATGATGCCAGCGCATGCTGATGTGTCACCACGGGGGCCATCGCCAACACCATCGGCAGCGCGGTCTACTCCTCCGGCCCCGAAGGTTGCGTCACCATCCTCATCATCATCCTCCTCATCAGCACCAACGACAGCAGCAGCAAAGGACACGGGTTCGACTGGTGCAGTAGTGAAATCATCGACAACGACGATGACAAGTGGCAAAACGTTACAGCAAGCATCCAGCACACCGACAAGAGCCTCCTCAACACCTTTGGCAACAAAGGCACGGCCACCACCGCTGTCCATGTCAATCCCTGCACATGTGTCCACGAAAGAGGAGGAGACACCGCGCACGCCCAAGATCAGAATCACCTTCTCAGCGTTCAAGGTAGAGATGTGTCTGTCTATCTGTGTGTCTGTGTGTGTGTGTGTGTGTGTGTCTGTCTGTGTGTGTGTCTGTGTGTGTGTGTGTGCGTGCGTGTGTGTCTGTGTGTCTGTGTGTCTGTGTGTCTGTGTGTGTGACACTGTGTGTGACACTGTGTCGCTGTGTGACACTATGTGACACTGTGACAGCCCTCGGCACACACGCGCTCTTGTATGAGAGCCGTTCCCCCCCCCCGGCCCCCACGCGACGTTTTGTGGTGGTCACTGACGTGCGTACGTGCGTGTGTGTGTGTGGCTTTGTGCACTGTTGGCACTTGTTGACAGGGGACGGGG